TGTCGGTGTTCGAAAAACGGTGGGCCGCCCGGAGCCAAGCTTCTTTTCCCGTAATCTGAACGAGCGGAGGGCCCATTAAACCGGAGGACGCCTCGTCTTGAAAGGAATGTCACGGGGTTACGCCCTTTCTCATCGACGAAAAACGGCCCCCCTTTCCCCTCTCCCTTCCCCCGCTGTTCTTGGCTCGTTAATGTCCGAGGCATCATCGGTGCGTCCGGCCCCGAGCGACCGCTTCTTCTTCTCCTTCTTCTTCTTCTTCTTCTTCTCCTTGGGGCTGCTTCCCTTATCGGCCGCTTTAAAAGTTACAGTTTCGGGCCGGTCAAAGAGCTTTATCAGACGATTTACAGCTTTCAGCAGCCTGGTACGACGTCGTTCGAGGGCCAGATAATTTGCTCATTGCCCCGGTGTAACAGAGGCCGCGACGGTGAATTATGTGACGGGAAATTGGTGCAACCACCGGCCACGCGGGGATCCAGGAAAGCCGGTTTATCGTGATCTGCTCGTTACGAAAGCGCGGGAGTACGCACGCGGCGATTCGTTTGCATGTAGGTATATAGGTACGGGTCTATTAACACATTAATGTCGGATTTTTAACAGTTTAATGACGTAGTAGCGGTTGGGAGCATGGGCGTCCGAGGATGCCTTGGGAAGAAGAGTTTCGTTAAGGAATGTCCTTAAAATTTTTAACACACGTTGGGCATTCACGTTTGGCCCTGTGGTTAGGAAGGTAGTTATCGATCTGTGATTGTGTCATGTGGACCTATGAATTTTTTGGAGTAATGGGGCATGATAAATGTGAGCGTGATTTCTTTCTGATATCAGATGAATGGAAATTTTGATAGGTTTCATTTCTATGCTTAGGCATGGTGTAGTGGACCACCACTTTTTTTCAATTCACGTAGTATGTCACCTCAACACTTTGATGTTGGATGACGCAGTAGTACATTTCTTCGTAAACAAAAGGTGAGAGCAGTTTACGTAGTACGTCTTTTTTAAATAAGAAGTAGAATGATAAAAAATAGGGGAATCGATCACACACGCCACAACTGTTTTTCCCAGGATATCATTCCAAGATTTTGCAATTCCACGCGATACATTCGCGAATCTATCGAACCTGGTTCGTCCGGTCACACACCGATCGGTCCGTCAGGATCGTTGCGTCCCTTCTCGCGGGACTATTTTGGCTCGGCTAGCCAGGATAATCCGGCTTAGTGTCCTTCAGCGTGTTCACCGTGAACGAGAGAGAATCGATCCTCCCTTTCGACGCTAGATCCAGGACAGTAGGCAGATGCTACCAGGAATCCCTGGGCAGCCGTTTAACCATCGACCGATTCTTTCATCTCCACACCGCTCGAAGCTTTAGAGATGCAACTTATCCGCAATTTCCGGTGGGAATAGAGACCATTTTTGACCCAGAAAATCATCCATGACGGTCAGCTCGTCGCACGGTAAAACCTGCCGACTCCAGAACTGTACAATTTTAATTTCGTAACTTTCTCGAATCATCATTAGTAATTCTTCCTCATTCTCCCCTGGGTCGATAAGGGTATACAATGGTGTTCGCGGATCAGAAGTTCCTATAGAAATTCCACAATGGAAAATCCGTCCCAAAGGGGGTTGCAAGGGGGCCGAATTAAAATTCCATTGCCGCGAACGTTCCAATTTACACTCTCCACCCCCTCCTGAGCATTCGGTCCGTGGTTCGTTCAAAAGCTGAGAGAGCACACGAACGGGCGAGCCGTAACGCGAAAAGATCGCAAAAAGAGGAGCTAACTGCGGCAGTTGCGGCGGCGGCGCTACGTTCGTGAAACGCGCGCGCGTTGTTCGCCATTATGGAAGCTGCGATTGCCTTAAGAGAAATAGCCGGTGTGTGTGCCCCCTCCGCCACCCTCACCCCTCTTCGAATTATTGTACTTTTGTATGCTAACGGGCGCGAGTATCCTTAAGCGTCGTCGTTATAACGGCCGGGGCCAATTACGGTAATTAGCCGCCATAAACGAGTAGTGTCTGAGAAAGCACCTCGAGGTTGGCCCCTTGAACGAACAATACGTTGTTGCGGTGCCCGCGCGCACGCTCGCGTTGCCGATAAATATAAGTCCGGCACGTCTCCCCGTGGACATCCACCGGCTCCAGGGGATATCCTCTGGCCGTATCCATTGTTCCCAATTAGAGGGAGCTTAACTACGTGTATATGTATATACCAACCAGCGACTTCTCTCGGCAAGCAATATTTCCATCGAGATTTGGTTTGACGGAATTGTCTGGTGTCAATTGGAATTGTCGGTGACTACTCGACTGGCGATTCTATGATTCTTTTCTTTCTTTTTGCTTCCTCGAAATGTGGTCTATTGTATCGTTTCTTGCTGAAAGTATTGTATAATTGCATCTGCCTGAAGGAAAAGAAACGAGGATGATCGTGGTTCTGGCTCTCGCTCTCGCAATCTTTCTTCATAATTGGCCAATTTTTCGGCAATCGGGTAGGTCGGGGCACGCCTTCGTCATGTACTTTCCCCCTTCTGAGCTCATTCTGGCGAAGAGAGAAAGAGAGAGAGAGAGAGAGGGGGTAACAGCCTCCTTCGTTGATTTTTATTCAGAGGCCGCAACCACGCGAAATTCGTAATTGCACGAAGGAAAATAACGAAGTTCCCGCAAGACTCGACTAATCTCATTCAAGACTTTCTTCCACGAGTTCCTTCGCGACTCGCTGCTCGCGCGGCCGACCCCCTTTCAAAGGGGATTTTTCGGTGTGAATGTCGGCTGTTCGCGGTTCGTTAACGCTCGCCGCCGCATAAACTGGAAGCGGATGAATGAAAAAGTTCATTGGCTCGTCGATGTGAACGTTTTGCCAACGAACGAACGAACGCGTGACTACAGTAAATAATCGATGAGTGTTCGAAGTGTCCCCAGGTGTAACGCTGACTTTTTAATGAGGTTTAGCACAGTGATAGAGCTTAAAATTCTGAAGCCAATGATATTTTTTTCAACCACATATGGCTGTTAGTTTATGAAATATTTAATGTAACCCAACACGTGCCAGAAAGCCAGTCAGATTATAATGGTCAGACATGAACCGATGGATTGTGACGATAAACTCTCGCGTAAGGTCTTTGTTTACAAACCATGGTTTCCTGTTGCTTCTGAAATACTGCTGAAAATATTCTTTTCCTTTCATTCTCCGTTGGTCCTCTGTGAATCGGTTAGTATTCATATTACATTCGTATTTAAATGATTCCCGAAAATCGGTCATTGCAACAAAATTACAGTTGTCAGATTGTTCTGATTCGCTGTTTTGGCCAGGGTATCAGCCTCTTCATTGCCATGAGTATCGAAAGGGTTAACGTGCGTTCAGGGTACCCAGTTAAAGACGCCCAGCTCTGACAGACGCACACACATCGCAGAGCCCCTTATCTCGGTATCGACAGATCGAGCGAAAGAAAGGGAAAAAAAAAATGAAGAAGAAACCATACCAGCTGGGTTTTATTCATCGTCCGTTGGAATAAATCGCGGATCGAGGGGGCTCGCCAGTTGCCGGAGCTGCCGCGGCATCGTTCTGGGTGACACTCGGTGGAATGCTGTGGAGAGGTCGGAATAGAAACGTGCACGAGTCAATCGGCGATGCTGTCAGAGGTGGACGGGCTGGCCGAGGCGCGTTCCCCGGAATAAAAAGCAGATCCTGGCGGTGGCGAGAGCAGAGGCGAGCATCAGCACGCGGCTCCTCCGCAGTTAGGGAGGAACTTGGTTGCACGTCGGGGAATTATAATCCCTGTGGCACGAAGAAAGGGCGCCTTCTGGTGCCTGTGGCTCTCCTCTTCTTCTCTTGTGTGCGTGTTTATGTGGACCAGCTCTCGTGTTGCGACCAAGGGAAGCGAAACACGTCTACTGTCCAGCAGCATTTCGTGGCCCCGGGATCGGCGTGTTTTCACTTTTTCCGCGCGGGCTTTGTAATGTACGGGTATATACACACTGGCAGCCGCGACAGGAAAGCCGCGGCTTCGTGAAAATACCGGGCAAGCCTGGACTGCTGACGACGCGTAATCGCAAAAGGGGTTTTTTCGAGGGAAGTTCGACTATTTCTTGTCCTTGTGAAATTGGCCAAGGAGCGACCGGTGGAGCGAATTAAATGGCCCGATAGAGATTTCGAACGGGTCCGACTCTTTGAATCGTCGATGCTCGACGAATCCTCTTTGCTAAGGGAAAGATTGTGGTTGTACCTAGATTCAATACGGGGAACGGTTCGATCGCTGGATTGCATTTCTATGGACATTTTCCCTGCGAAATAATATGGATTATAAGCTAAGTCACGATATTTGTTCGACTCTCTCTAGATCATAAGTAATGTACTGGACCTGATCCTGAGATCATTATTTCTTAATCTAAGGACCACTTCGACCTAACTTCGACTAATTTTACACCATCGATTGACTCAGTCCGCAGTGTGTAACCAGCAGTAAAAATTTTAACCGTATGTCGTTCTTACCCTAATCTCTTGAAAATGTGATGTACAGTAAATCCTCAATGATTGTCAAAAAGAACAAGGGGGAAGTATCGGTGGCTTCAGAATCCCAAGCTCTATCATTAAAAAGTCAATGCTAAACCGAGGGACCTTTCCTTGTCAGTGCTGAGGACCTTCCGATCACTCATCGATAATACACTGTACTCTGTACTGTCATATCAAGTGATACATTAAAATATTGAAAGCATAGTTTCAACATGAATGAACTTATTAATTTCTTATTATTTGATGATAATTAGGATTATGCTATGAAATGGCATGTGACCAAACAGATAGGTTAAAAACGACGTACAGTTAAAAGTTTTATTGTTAGCTACATTACTGACTGACTTAGTCAATGTTGATTGAAGTGGTTCTAAGTCTGAGTACCTCCAATCGTTTGATAGAATACAACTCAGACTACTCACCGCTCCTTTTTTGTATCCCTGTTGTTATTATCGATATTATTAATGTCTAATCGAAATGTATCTGTTGATCCGGTGTCTAGGCAGATGTTCCCTCAGATGAAGTTCCGTGTCTCCGGACTGGACGCGAAGGCCAAGTACATGCTTCTGCTGGACATCGTGGCGGCGGACGACTACAGATACAAGTTTCACAACAGGTAAGCCGTGTGTTCGAGAAACTCATAAAGGTCTAATTGTCACGGGCAGGTCCCCGTTAACGATCCCCCGTGACTGTTCCTCGAATCGTGCTCGCCACTACCGCCACGAACCCGACAAGAGCTGTTTACTTGACTCGAAACGCCAGGCGATTTCGTGCCGAGACGAGCGGTAGCGAGCGCGCAAGGCGGCTCTCGGAACACGGAAATTAATGCAATTATCTGATTATTCGATACCTTCGTGCGTTGCACTGAGGAGCTGTTGGCACTTTCTGCGATGCGCTCGCGGGGAGGTAGGAGTCTTTTTTTCTTTTCTTGTTTTATTCTGGGACGGACTACCATGATGATGATGACGACGAGAAAGACGACGACGACGACGATGATGATGATGATGATGATGATGAAGTGAGAGAATTGGTTTCTGGTGAAAGTCGTTTGAAGACATATAATGTCGCGATTAAATTGGAGTTTTATTTACGTCGATGGAGACTTGAAATTGATCGGTTTAAAATTTTATCACTTCCTTTAGTTCCCTTTACTTAAACTGATCTTGTGTGTCTTTGAAAAAAGTTCGGTTTGTACAACACTGGGAATTTCGATTCTTTCCTGTGAAACTTTCCATCGCTCGAATTTCCCGGGATTAAATTTATAACTTCGGAATTACGAGCTGTAAACGGCAGGGGCGAAGCTCCTTATCGCCCGGTGGGTCGAGCCTGTAATTTCAGTTATGGCTTTCTCCGGGAAAGATTTATATTTCGAAACGATCACGTTCGAAAAGTTTGATTATAGTGACACCTCGGCACGAATTTGCGCGTCGTCCTCTTTTAAAGGAAGAAAAAATTACGCGTTTGGAAATTATACGTTCGAACAGGTCCGACAGGCATTATTATCGCGTTTTGAGTTTATAACTTAACTCGCCCCTTTCACCGATCAGAAATTTATGCGTTTTATGATTATGATACGATCGAGTGTTTGGTAGCTTTTTCTGTTCATCCCTTTCGTAATAATGTTTTCACTTCGAAATCGGAGGAAGTTCAAGGTGCTCGTGGGTTAATTTCACATTATTATCAATTTTCATTGCATTGCAAGTCGCTAACTATATTTATTCACTACAGTAGACGTCTACTTTATCACTTTAGTGACAATAACCAGAACATTTCTCAACGATCGACAGTACGAAACTTGTTTAAATGACATCCAAACATTCGACAAACAGTGTTACTATGACTGCTAGTTCGTTATTTGTTGCGAGCATAGATATTATTTATAAAAACATATATATATTTTAAGAAATGTCTTGAATAGTTTGAAAATAACTTATTTCCTGATTTTATGGGAAAAAATTTTTTTAATCAAGGTTAACCCCTTGGATGTTTATGTCAAGTATATTCGCCAGGAATACAAAAAATTACTTGGAAAAAAAAAGAAATATGAAACAGTGTATGTCCTCGAGCTGTTTGATAAGGCAGTATCTTTGTTTACAATAGATGTTGCTCAAGTCGTAATAGTAATCTTGTCATTTTATTAGAATTTATTTCAGTTTTACAAAAAATGCATTTCCCCTACTTTTGTCTAGTATACTCGTCATAGCTTAAAAACAATCGAACACACAAGTGTGCACATTTTCAGAATGATATAAAGCACGTGTACGGTTAATGATACTATGAGTATTTCAATAAATACAATTCTTTTGTATCGAATCGTTTCTGCAAAATGTACACTTCGCGAAAAATCTCTTACGCACAATGTACACGCGGTCTTCCGGCCAGACATTTATCCGCCATTAGCATTTCCCAGAAAATCTCGAGGATTCCCGAGCGGTCCGGGATTCAGACGCGTCGTGTTCTCACGACGCATCGGACGGACAATCAAGAACCGCCTGGTATAACGTTCTGTTTTTCAACCGGAAGAAGAAAAACGGATCCGCGTTTTCGAGGGTGTTAAACGGAACATAATTGCCCTCGCGGGAATACCGTCCGGGAAATTCGCCCGCGCGACTTACAGAGGACAAAGCGATGGAATCCCGAGAAAACGTGTCAGCGAACCGGCTCCTTAACCGGCCAAGCCGCGTAAATGGCGAATCTCCCGCGTCGAAATTCCCGGTTCCGCCGATTCCCACGCGAGTGAATGAAACGGGATCCAATTCGATGTAGCTTCTGGATGACTTTTTTGCCGTCTCGCGAAATCCTATTCCCAACTCCGTGTTTATTGTATTTCCTGCGAAGCATTAGGTCGGTTCCATAAATGGCTTGCTAATTTTTCAATTGAAAAAAAATGGTACACTAATATAGTGGATAACTCTTGTGTTTTTTGCATCGAAATGTCGACACATTTCTTGAATGGGGTATCGAAATTATTCGAAAGCATAAAATTATACTCTTACGGACCCAGTTACTGATCACTTAAAGGTGCGTATCCATTTGTTCAGTATCCTTGTATCGTATCACCGTTGCGGATCATCGTATCGTATCATCATACGATACATTTTCATAAGCAACGATGCAACGATTGCCTGTCCACATTGATACACAAGTGGGTACGCACCTGAAGAGTAACTATCGCTGTTTCTTTAACGTATATGTAGAAAAATTACCCAGTTCCAAAAGAATTATCTTTAATTTGGTGTTAACAAAAGTGCAGATATAATAATAATTAAATTATAATTTAACTTTTAATGTAAAAAGTGCAGGTGGAGCAATTTCTGACCATCTGAGTCATACATAGGTATCTCACAAATTTAACGTATAAATTTCAAAATGGTTAACATTAATTTAGTAATCTCGGTAAAAACTTTTATCGTAATAAACTTATTACATGGTGTCTACACATCAAACTAATCAAGAATTGGGTTCTGATGAGGAATTAGGTTCTGATCCAGAAACTGCAGGTACATGCTGTTTCCATTCGAGATAAACGACAAAGTAACCAGAATCGGTCTCGTACGCGACTTCCCTCGCGGTTAAAAGACCGTTGAAAACGGCGGGACGGCAGCGGGCGCATCGAAACGAAACGGAGACCACAATGAACGTGATTACATCACGCGACCGCAGCCACTTTGGAACTCGTCGAACGAGTTCTTCTTCGTTCGACCGTTTGACCCACCTAAGACGATCGGACTACGAACGTTTGGACACGCCCCTCCCTTCGAAAGACAACAATCGTGTGGTAGCCGGTGCTTAGATGGAAATCAGACGGTCGTGAAACCGACGAGAAACTTCAGTCTTTGACACCTCGATCAATGCTTCGTCCACGCGAAACATACACACTGCCGCGACAACGGGCCCAATCATCTCTGTCGCGATTTCTCTCTCGCTTAACGAGTCTGACTGGAAAATCAGTGCAGAAATATTTCATTCTGTGTGTCGAACGTGTGTACATTGGAATTGTTGAACAAAAGTTGTACTATTATATACAGGATGTCCCACTTATCGTGAGCACCTTAAATATCTCCCTTACTTTTGACTTTCAGAGAAATTATTTTAAACAAATGCTCAAAGTGATGTCCATCAACTACGACACATCATTGCACTAATCCCTTTATCGTAGTTGTTTTATTATTTAAATCTACTTCCTTAGATTTTTGGATTTTTCGTATTCAAGGTCACATGAAGATCACAGTACTGTATGTGATGGAATTGGTCTTAACCTCAACTATTACGCCACGAAGATAAAAATATGTAGCCCTGTTTAAAAACATATCGATGCCCTTGAAATTTCAAAACATATGACCTTCAGAAAATTTTTTATTTATCACAAAACAAGTGAGATATTGAAGGACCTCACATTAGGTGGAACACCCTGTATATACTAAAAATTTATAACACTTGGAGAGTAATAGATCATTATCTACCAACGTGTGAAAATCGCTGAATCCGAAATTTAATCACAGTTCCCCTATTCTCTACTTCATCATTATTGGATCGTTTCTAACGATTTTTGTCGAAACTTTTAAATTGCAGCAGATGGATGGTGGCGGGGAAGGCCGACCCGGAAATGCCGAAGAGAATGTACATCCATCCGGACTCGCCGAGCACCGGGGAGCAATGGATGCAGAAGGTCGTCAGCTTCCACAAACTCAAACTCACTAACAACATCAGCGACAAGCACGACTTTGTAAGTATTGTACGTACCGCCAACCAAACAATTACTTACTTACTTAGCCACTAAGTCGGAGCTCCGAGTTCTCGCAATTAATCGCCTAACTTCGCCCAAGCTAACGACCTAACGATCGGCCGATTAAAAGCTCGTTAGCGGCTCTCGCTGCCCACCCGTAGGTACGCGACGATGACGACCCAACCCTTTTTGATCGACGATAATCTCGCGAATTCTTGGCAACTTCGACGCCAATCACGACGGTATCTAGCAGGCTATTGATTCGTGACTCAAGATGCTAGAGAATAAAAAACGATGAAGTATTGCTAACGGTTTTATTCGAAATGTTCTCGTCAGGTCAACTGACTCTCAGTATCTCAAGAGAAATTATGTGACGTGATCTACAGTGACTCACAGATTCGTTCACATACTTTGGACATAACAATTGAGTGTTAAAATCGTTATGCGATTCCTTTGTATATATCCTCACTACCATTTACTTTTATCATCCCGTTGTGACGTATATTTTTCAATTTCGCTTTACTGATTGAAGTTATAATCGATTGAATGTCTGTCTCCAAGATTCTGTAAAGATAGAATCACGAACCTGATGAATCCAACCGTCTCAAACCGTACATACATATATATATATATACTTGTCCCGGAAATCTCCTCCCACGACCAAGGTACCAAAGGGTCGAGCAAAAGGACCGGAAACTGCGGGGCCCGTGTTTCCTCCGCGAGACGCGCAGCGAAACAGAGGGATTCCAACGTCGGTGGAACAGAAGCGGTGAAGAGCGAAGGTAGGGGGGATGGGACACGATCGGATTTCCGCGAGGATTCCTAACCGGCAGGGTAATCCGGGGATTAAGTTATCGCGATGGATTTCGCCGTCAAGTAGTTGCAGCGACCCCCTTCTCCCCTCCAGTCTCTGTTCCTCTCTATTAGCCCCCGTCCCACCTTTTCTCTGAGAAGAAGAGGGGCCTGCGGAAGCCAGCATCTCGCAAAGACGCCTGGCTCTTTCAGTAGCCTCCCCCACCCCTCTCCCTGCCCCCCACCCCCTCCTATGCTCCCTCCTACCGTTCACCTTTTTTGCGAATCCTTTTTGCGGCAGTCCGTGTCGGCGTCCTTTGAAGGATCCTGCATCGCTGGCTCGTGAAATCTAGTCCTCCTGAGCAGCCGGGGCCCAGCGCGATGTCAATGGCTCGCACAGCCCGACCTTTGTTACGACCAGTCTTTTTCTTCGTCTTCTTCTTGTTCTTCTTCCTCCTCCACTTCTTCTTCGTCTTGTTCTCGTCCCACTCGTTGGCCACCGCATATCGCGCGGTGCGCCACCAGTCTTCTCCCCTTTTCTTTGCTCCGTGGGCCCCCGTATGGGGTTGTTGGAGAGGTGGAGAGGGGGTGGCGGTCGAAAGGTAAACGTGGCCACGACGTTAACCACGGTTCACCCACGTCCCACCCGGGGACAGCTTCCGAACCAGTTTGTGCACGAGCCCAGAAAATACCCCGACGCCTGGCAACCCCTGTAGCAGCTACAAGCCCATCCAGCCGGCTCAACCCTTTCCAGATTCAGGGAAGATGGGGATTCCGAGGGATAATATGGGACACTTTGGTCGCGAGGATGTGGAGCGGAAGATAAGATGGCCAGGATCGTTGCGCTCGTCAGCTGGATCGTCTTTTTTTTTCCTCTCATCCGAGCCGAAGGGGCCTGATTCCCGGGAGGGGTCGCGGTTAGGGATGATCAGCCTTTCTGTTCCGCTCTGTTGGTGTCTTTAGACACTCTGAATATCCTTAATGCATAGCTCGGGAACTAGATTTATTTGGGCACTCTCCTGGGCTAGGAGATTTTTCGATTCTTTAACGTCGACTAGAAAACAGTCGCCTAGCTACTCTCAGCCTAAATAGCCACTCAGGCGACAGTGTGTACCGTCGAGAAGTCAATCTTAAGACGTTCGAATAACACTCGAACGGATCAGGTCCCAAGAAAACAGTCCCGAAGAATCTCGACTTGACTTCTAGCCTCTTTCGCTAATTTCCTCTTCCCTCGGTGTTAGCAGGGAAGATCAGGTCGGAGGAAACCAGGCGAAATTAGCGCAAACAGCACTCTGGGCCGCTGCACCTCGCTCGAAGGGGAGCGGATAGATCTCTGATCCTACGGTCGGCAGTCCCTTTGTCGGGAAAATCCCGAGGCGGCAAACAAAAATGAGACACTCGACGTCTACGAGTCCTTCGAGACGACTTTCTCGAGTGCGCGTCTCGAGACCCCCCTCTCCTGGCACACGAGCAAACACCGGCTAAAGGACCACGGGGTCAGCAAACACCCGGGAAAACGGGCGAACCCTGGGTTCCTGTTGCTCCCGTTTCAACGGGACGTCCACTCAGCCAAATTTACCTTTCGGGAGACCGTGCTGCGTGGGAACACGCGCTCAAAGTGAACGGTTTTAGTCGAAATGTGGTGGTTCGCGGGAGGGTTTAATGGATCGGTATCTTCGGATCGATTCTTCGTGGTAAACGTGATGAAAGCTGCCCTCGATTCTATCCTTCTTCGTTCCTCCTCCTAGACGATAAAAGTTTCATTACATTTTCTCGATCAAGAATGAAAAGTAAGAATTCCAGAGGACGTCACGAGATTTTAGGCTGTTTTCTTATGATTGATCCCTAGTTAAGACAAGTTGATTATCGCAAAGGTTGTTGGTAATCGCTTTTATCGTTTTTTTTCGGAAAGTGAGTCATTCATAAAAGCTTCTGGTCATTTAACGAAGAAGTCTTCTCGCCTCTAATATTTAGTAGGTCGTGGGGAGAATGGGTGATAAATAGCAGAAGAGGTCCATACAACGTCAAACGGACGACACAGTGTCTGTCGCTGGTGTTTTTTTTTTCCTCGATTTAGTCGTTCCGCTGCGAGTACTCGAGAGAGCTAGCTTTATCAAGAAGAATACTTGATCCCGTCGTTTAATCCGCGCCGCCAAAAAGCGACCCAGGCATTTCGTCCTTTTCACCCGGATCGACCAAGCTCGTCGCATAAAGACGGACCCGGACGACTCTCTCTCCTCGTTTCGAGTGCTTCGACAAAAGGCGCAAGCCTATTGACGCGCTTGGGCTTCGATATCGCCTACAATGGATACCTAACCCCTCATTTCTTTGCTAATAGTTGCCTACGATTATTCCCGTTCTACTAATTATATACGTCGACGGTAATGAGCTCGATAGCGACGCGACAGATTGTCAGCGGCGACACCTGAAATACTAGGAAAACTGGACGGTAATCTGGGCGAAATTTATCATCCAGTGTGTCCGAAGTTTTCACCCGTATCTGGACTTCTTCACGATCCGCTTGGAAGTAGGTTGTCTGCTAACTCTTGCCAAGTGCAGGGTCAACGAAATTTCGGAAATGTTAGTACGTCGTATATGCAATATCCGTTATTTTTAGAGATCGTAGTTTTGAACGTGTATTGAAAGCACATGTGTACTATTTCACGTACATTTAAATAATCGTGTAATTAGTTAGCCGTGTATTAATGCATCCTTATTTTAGTTCGTGGAACTTTTAGGACATTCATATTAATTTATGGATCGAGACTACGGTTTCACAAGTCTCGAGTTTGTTGGTAAAAATATAAATTAAAATGTCATTTTTATCGACAGAATTTGTTCAATGAATTGTCTGTTCTGATACAAGATAGCTGATATATTTTGCATTTTCCGATAATAATTGACTTCTTTTGTTGGTAGCTATATTCCCCACAGCTAAAAAGCATCTATATCGGAGGCAATGGATGCTAAAATATTTCATTCCCAGTTCAGCAATTCTCGGATACTTAGTTTCAAACTTATTTTCGTATCTATTTTCTACAACCATATTTTGCTTTCGAAAATCAGTGACTGTATCCGAAAAATGATGTCAACTCAAAATGAAGACACGCTAATACTCGTGTATTTAGTTAAATTAATTTTTTTATTTTAAGTATATTTATATGTGTGAAGTAGTGGATGTGTATTTAAACATATGTGAAATAACATACGCGTATTTAAATACACGTGCAATAGGGATCTCTACTTTATTTTAATTGAAACGGAAAGAAAAAACGAGAAAATACAAATATCGATTTCTTCGTTCGTACAGGCTTCGAGATCAAAATATCGCCCTGAGAAACATGTCGTAGCTTTTTGAATTCACCCTTCACGGAAAATCAGTTTTAATGTCCGTTTTCCCAACGCTTGGTCCGTCAGACAGACAGAGAGAGAGAGAGAGAGAGAGAGAGAGAGAGGCATTCTTTTTTTTCCAATCTTGCTCGAAAATTAAAACGGGAAACAATCAACGCGGTCGAACGAGTCGAGCGAAACTCGATCAAACGTGCCTCGCAGCTTTAATTATCCAGTGTCCGGCACGCGTGTCCTGTACACGCGGGAAATTGCACGGGCAGCGTTTTCCCTCTCGACTCGACTCTCGACCAGGATCCGACTCTCCCGATGATTTGTTCGGTCCTGTGAATACTAACTGTGGTAACATTGGCTACGCACTACCGCGGGAGCTCAGCCGACAGATTCGCACTCTGATTGGTCGGCGTTTTTCGCTAATATCTCGTTAGCAAAGCCTCGGAGAACTTTTTCGCTAAGGAAACAATTGTTTCAAATCACCTCAGAGAACACCCATTTCAAGGACTTATACTTATTTTGAGACACCTTGTATATGAAACCGGTTGCGTATAAAATAAACAATGAAAGTGTATTTCCGACGGCACAAGTCATTTTCAATAAAAGAGTGACTAACACTGGCTGACATCCGAACCCTCCAAGCATCGTTAAGTTTTATCTGTCTTTGACTGCGTTTTGTATATTAAAATTTACTATAAATACTTAAATATCCGCAATCTAATAATCAGTCGAACGAGAAATCAGTAAGAGACAGAGTCAGATTTTATAGGGTACGAAAAAAAAACGTTTCCGAATGAGTCACTTTTCGGGTAAGACGACTTCGGTTTTTTTCGACGCCTCGTCCCACGCCTCGAGTTTGCGTCGCGACGCTGCTC